CTTCCCTCTCCCCTCTCCCCTCTCCCCTCTCCCTCTTCTGTCTCCCTCTTTCCTCTCCCTCTTTCCTCTCCCTCTTCCCTCTTCCCTCTCCCTCTTTCCTCTCCCTCTTCCCTCTTCCCTCTCCCCTCTGTCTCTTCTCTCTCTCCCTCACTCCCTGCTTTCCTTCCTCCCTGCCCCCTCTTCTGTGCTTCCCACCCCCTTTTTTGTGGTGCAGGGATTCATCCAAGAGTCTTTGCACATGCTAGGCAAGCACTCTACCATGAACCTGAATAACTAGTCCCTGATCAGTCTATAATTTCTTACATACTGGTTGATAGGTACAAGCTCAGTTTTTAAGAATTTCCTAACTGCTGAAATTTCAGCACCTTTTCAAAAATTCTACATGTGTAATAGAAACTAAATAGCAAACACTGTGATCAGTGTTACATTCCTGAGCAGAATTAATACAGTGAATGCCAAAAGTTAAGAAACATTTGGGAACATAGAAAGAGGGAGTGGGATTGTTATTTATTTATGTCATAATATTTTATAATGCTTTAATTTGCTGTTAACAGTCACTTATATGCTTCTTCTCCCTAGTTATCAGGGAACATAAAGAACAAAGAAAGTATCCAGGAACCCAGATTTGATTATTACAACCACAAAACTCCTGATATTGACCTCAGTGAATGTGAGTTCCCACATGTCATTGAAATTTATGACTTCCCCCAAGAATTTCGTACAGAAGACCTTCTCCGTGTTTTCTGCAGTTACCAGTAAGTATTTACGAGTAACTACAGATATTAGGAAAGGTGGAATGAAATCTTCCTAGTAACATCTTCTGAGTAATCACTTTTCGTTTTCATATTTTGTTTTGATATTTCCTGTTGTTTACTTTAGTGTCTAGTCCAGGTACATTAGAAATCTTCAAAATCAAACTGCTCTTCTGAATTACTTAAAAATGCCATATAGACTTTCTAGACCTCATTTTAGCTTTTAAGAAGATTGTCATCATTGATAACTTTTAAGAAGACTGTCATCATTGATAACTCCAGAATCTATTTGCATGGTACATTTAGTCCATTTATATTTATTGCCATTATTGATATATTTGGATTTATAGCCAAATATATATTTACCTTCCATCATCTTCATGTGTGTTTACTTGTCCTTTTTCTTGTTTCTCTAGCCTTCTTTTGGACTTATTAGGTATTTTTTATTCTACTTGTTTTTTAAAGAAATGATAATCTGTTTTTAGTGGTTACTCTAGAAATTATAAAATGCATGCTTGATTTATTAATGACTAAAACTAATTTTTTACTCTTTCTAAACCATGTAAGGCATTTTAATTCCATTTCCTACCTCTCCTTTCCCCAATTTATGAACCTATGTTCTATTATGGCTGAGTGATTGTTGTTTTTCTCTTTTTAAGTTTTATTTAACATTATTACTTTATATATATTCAGTGTTTAGATTTATCCATTTTCTATACTTCGTTTATCCCCCTTCCCTTTGATGTTACTGGGAATCACTTATACCTTCTTACTATTTGAAATCTTTCTCGTCTTGTATGGGGTGTATTTTTTGGAATTTAACTTAGACAAAATGTGCCAGAAACAAACTCCATTTCCTTTTTTTTTTTTTTTTTTTGCGGTATCGGGGATCGAACTCATGACCTTGTACTTGCCAGGCAGGCGCTTTTGCCACTGAGCTGTATCCCTGCCCTCCATTTCCTTATAATGGTTTTATTTCAGCTTCATTGTTGAGTGACATGTTCGCTGGGTATAAAATTCTACATTAAACTGGCATGCTGGCACATGTCTGTAATCCCTGCACTCAGGATAGTGAGGCAGAAGGATCACTGCAGGTTAAGACCAACCTAACCTACCTAGTGAGTTCAAGGCCAGCCTAAACTGCATAACAAGATCCTATCTTAAAAAACAAACAACAGCACAGTTCTGCATTGGCAGATACTTTCTCGCAGAAACTTGAAGATATTCTACAGTTTTCTTGTTATCTCTTAATGATAAGTCAGCGGACAATCTGACAGATTGTTACTTCTGATAATCTGTCTTTTCTCTTTGGATGGTATAGTATATTGGTCAGGGGTTCTCTAAAGGACAGAACCAGTAGAATATATATATATACACACATATGTGTGTATGTATATGTACGTGTATATACACACACATATATGAAGTGTGGCTGAAAATACAGAGAATAATGAAATTTTAAAAATTTTATTATAGTAAAAGACACGTTGCCATTAATCCCTCTCAAAAATATTTCTCCTTGCTTCTAACACATTCTCTTGTTACTGCCTCTTTCAGAAGCAGTTCTAGAAGTCCTCTTTTGTGTCTCTCTACCAGGTGTGGTCAAATGTATGCAGTGAATGCTGCTGCCAAGTGCCATCCAACAGAAAGGCAGGCTCATTAAAACATTGTGTTGTATCCTCATCCACTTACTAGATCTGGCACAATATGACCTCTGGTTCTTTCCCAATGTCAGAATGACTATGAAAAGTAAACATTTTCAGTTGATTCAAAACATTGAAGCAACCATGACAGCTCAAGTAGAGAATCATGAAAGAAGTCTTCCAGAACTGCTTTGGAAAGTGGCAATAAAGACAGGATAAATGTTTGAATTTGGGGGGGTGGGATTATGGCAATATGTTTTTTTAATGATTTTTTTAAAACTTAAGTATTCACTGTGTTTTTTAATCACATGCTGTGTGTGTGTGTGTGTGTGTGTGTGTGTTATAAAGGGGGATTTATTAGATTGGCCTTTAGTATCATAGACTGGATAGTCCCACAGTGAGGAGATGCTGATTAGCCAGAGAAATTAGTAGCTGGTTAGTTCAAGGAGCTGGAAACCTCAGAGTGAGAAGGGTTAGTAATGTAGCCCCAGCCCAAGACTGAAGGCCTGAAATCTCCAGTGGGAGTCACTGTTGTTAGTCCACATAGAGAGGCTGAAGAATCTGGAGTCTGATTTTAGCAGGCAATGCTTAAGAAGAATCAAGCTTACATGTGCTGGCTGGCTTCATCGTTCTTCCTCCTCCTGGTTCTGTCAGGGTTTCCAGCCTGTTGTATTTAGGCATCTCACATTCCGATCAAGTAGACAATCAAGATTAACTGTCACAGAAGCTCTAGACAATTTCTGTCTTTGGTCTTCTTCATTTTCAATGTGATGTGGGCGTTGTGGATTTTTCTTTTTTCATTTAATCTTGATTGAGGTTACCTGGGTTACCTGAGTTTACAAAATCAATGGATGTGGGTTTTTCATTAATTTTGCAGAACTCTTAGACATCATCTCTTCATCTCTTATTGCTCTGGTCTAGTCTTTTTCACCTTCTCTATGATATCACTTAGATGTGTATTAGTTATGGCATAACTCTTAAACCTTACTAGTTATTAGTTACTTATGAGTTATAAGCTACTAACCAGTTATTAGTTACTAGTTAATAATTAGTTATTGGCTAATTATTAGTTACTAGTTAGTTACTTATGAGTTATTAGTTACTAACCTTATTAGTTATGCCATAAACCTTACTGTAATTGTATAGCGTAGGTCAGGAGCTGCAATTTATTACAGTTATGATAGGACCCAGTATCAGGGCTTGTTCAGTGTAAAGTTCATAATAGCGCTTTAAAATCACTCGAATTAAATCTCAAATTAGAACTACCTTTATTTGTCATAAATAATGACAGTTTATAAAACCAAGGATCATTTTGTTGATACCTAAAATTTTTTCAAGAATGGTTAATTCTTATGAGTTATTACTTCCCTTAGCTTTCTCTGAAATCTTACCTGCAAGACCATTTTTCTTTCAAATCTAAAAACATTTCCAAAAGATAAGAATTTTAAAGGATTATGAAATCATGGAGTCTTAAAAGGCGCCTCAGAACTGATCTAGGTCTTTTCCCACCCACTTGATAAATTGTCCTGTAGTATAGACTTTCGCTGTTGAACTTTTTCAATCTTTAACCTCTGTAATCATTTTATGCTGTGGTCAGTCTTCTGCTTATGTTCAGGAAATTCTCTAACCTTCAAAGCCTACTTTATTCCTTTTTCCTCTCAAAGGATTTTTTTAAGATTTACTATTAAAGAGGGAAGATATTTTAGCAGTTGCCTTTTTTTTCTTTATAATGATTTATAAAATAATTTTTAGAAAGGTCATGGTGCAAAAACTTAGAATTATGCCTGTAAGTCTGTTAACCAGAGTCAACTTATGTTTTCATTACAATCTTCATTAGTTTTAATAATTTTCCTGGTAAACATTGCTTTTAATAAAAAGGAACACCATTCATTTATAATATGCCCACTGAGTGCTCAACACCATGTTCTTGGCCTTTCCATTTTCACAATAACTTTATGAGGAAGGTACTCTGCCTATTTTTATGGGAGGATAGACCTAGCCTCAAGAGAATTCATGGTCTTAAGGTGGCAGAACCTTAAGTCCCTATATGTCTGACCCTCAAACCTGTGATCTTTCCAGTGAACTCTGTTGAATTCATGAGCAATTTTAAGGTCCTCCTGAAAAAAAAAAAATCTCTTACCATCTTGATAGTCTTTGTGCTTACTGTATAGTTCGGTTCCCCAAAAAAGGTATTTTTCTCGTAGTTAAATGTCCATTCTTTTGACACTTTTCTAATCTTGCCTAGTATTTTTCTTATCATAATTTTTTATCCTTAAATTTTTCTGAATTTGCCCCAATCTTTTCTATTTTCTCTTTCTTACTATCCTTCTATTACAAGTAAAAAAATGGAAGGAAGCTTCTATGATTGTAATTGTCTTATTTCCCCTATTACTTGACTTTTTAAAAAATTCTAATGACATCTTGGCAATACAATACTTGTCTCCCTTTGTTTCTCTCAAAGGCAGAGTGTACATTTGCATTAAATCCAGGTGACCTTCCCTGACTACTTCCTCCTTCTATATTCTTCTCCCCCTCCTCTGCTTCCCTGTCCTCTCTTTCATTCCCTGTTCCATAAGAACATCTTTTATAAATAGTGCAGTAAATACTTTGCATCCCAGGGGACTTGTGAGGATTAATTAGTTGATGTCTATAAAATGTCTGGGAACGTAAAATACTCCCAGGTAATTCTTTATGGTGGTATTATTGCTTTTAAAATTCTGTCCTCCAAGCTGTTTTTGTGCCATCCCCATTCCACCTGTGCAGTCTTGAGTGTTTCTCTATCTCATGAAATACTATGTAAGACTATTTGAAAGATGTTACTGTTGAAAGTAAATTTTAAGACATAAAATTATTTTCTTTTGTTGCAGAAAGAAAGGATTTGATATTAAATGGGTGGATGATACACATGCTTTAGGAGTATTCTCCAGTCCAATCACAGGTATTCATCTAGTATACTTCAGTGTTTTCTTATTGTCCATTTTCTCCTACTACTTATTTCCCTTCTATTGCAGCCCATTGGGCATTTTATTCAGCTAATACAGGTAATAGAATAGATACAGGTTCTTGAAGCATGGTGCTTTGGTACTCATGTGTTCCCCCTCTCCCATTTGTTTTAATCCAATGATATTTGGAGAGATAATCAACTCCTTCCAAGGTTATTTGCACATATAACTGTCAGTCATGACAGTGCATTAACAGATTACCCATAGAGATGTAAAAAGGCAGTGTAACTAAGTCTTACAGTATGTGTTACTTTTTTTCCCCTTAGACTAATGAACCTGAAGTAGCCCTTTAGCCTGTCTATGAGAAATTGCAGTCCTACTCTGAATGTGATTGAGCTTTTGTACATTAAGTCACTGGGCTCATGAAAGATCTCATGCATGGCATTCAGAGAAACTAGAGATGTTGGAATGTTGGTTCCTGTCTGAACCATCTAGAACATGGGTCTGCAAACTTATTTCCTAAAGGTAAAGCAAGAAAGCAACTACAGACAATATGCAAATAAATGGTCCTGGCTCTCTTTCATAAAATTTTGTTTATAACCATAGGTGGCTGGCAGGATTTGGTCACAGAGCCACACTTTACTGATCTTTGATCAGAAATCACCACTGTCGTGTTCTTTACATATTTTCTATATTTCATGATCTTTTTCTTGTTGTGAAAAAAAAAAAGATCTAGGAAATACTTGATTTTCCTCTGTATAGCTCTACTTCATACCTTCTGTTCCCTTTATTCCTCCTTGCAGCTCGTGATGCTTTGAGTATTAAACATACCATGGTGAAGATCCGGCCCTTGTCCCAGGCCACAAGAGCAGCCAAGGCCAAAGCTAGAGCTTATGCTGGTGAGTTTAAAATCTCTGGGTTTATTTTTCCTTTTGATGATGGTGTTACTGTTTTTTCCAGTACTTGTACACCATCCAGAGTTTATTGGATGTTTATTTTTCATATGAAGGAAGTATGGTTTTAGAGACAAAAAGAAAAGTGACCATGTTAGAAATAAGTCATCAGAATAGCTGGTTGGAGAGTGGGAGATACTAACTGCAAGCAGTGCAGCAACCAGATTTGGATGACACCTTACCTACTTTACCTCTGTTTTAGCTGTTTCGTAGTCACTGTAAGAAATTGTGTTAATGCAGATAATGAAGCCAGGGTTGTTGGTGCTTTGCCATATTAATTTCCAATGATCCTCATCTATCAGGCTTGTATTAATTACTGCTGATGCAGCCCTTGTTAGTCTATTTTGTATGTCAATTACTGAGTTAAATCACTTGGAGCTAGAGTGCTTTCTCCTCTCCTACTCCCTCCATTTCTCCCATTCAGAATTCCTTCAGCCAGCAAAGGAACGGCCTGAGACTTCAGCAGCCCTAGCTAGAAGGTTAGTCATCAGTGCCCTTGGGGTTCGAAGCAAGCAGAGCAAAACAGAACGGGAAGCAGAGCTCAAGAAACTGCAAGAAGCCAGAGGTGAGTTGGTATGGTGATGTTCCTCCCTAGTGCCTCGACCGTTTAAAAAAAAATTAAGCCCGTTTCATACCACTTCCATTTTCTAGGAGCTTCTAAAGTGTATGAAAATTGTTTTCAAGCCTTAACATATGAGAGAAAGACATTTGAGGATTTGTCTGTGTTCCGTACATGTTAAGGCATCCTAATCCATACTCCTACTGTTGTTTTCTAAGAGATAGATTTGGCCCTCTCAACTCATTGGCTTTTACTACAGTTCTTGCTCCAAACTCAGAAAAAGTTTTCCTGTGGGAACATAATAGTCTCGTAGACAGAAAACATTATTTGCTGTGGTTTTACTGGGCCGTGCTTGCCATGATGTTATTAAATGGTTTCGATCTTAGGTAGAAGACAAATTGAGATAAAGCCAGCAACTGACATTAGTGATAATAACTATAAAAGGGATTTTTGTCTTATTCAGAGGCTCAATTAGAGTACATTTGGATTTACCTGTCTTACGATTATTTTCAAGTATCTAAGAGTTTTCAGAAAATATTTTCCTTATCCACAAGTAAGGTTTTTCTTCTCTTACAGTTTGGAATTGAAGTTAAAGTATACCTCTTCTTTACAAGCTATTGAATTGTATTTAAAAACTTGAGACTGGGACTTGGCACTTAACTGCTTTTTATTAACCTCCAGGCTTTAGTCAGTCTCATTTTCCAAGCCTAAAATCTGTGAATCTGTGGAGGCAGTTTATTCTGAAAATTCCACTTACTGAAAATTGACTTCATTTTTTCCACTAAATGAATTGAAGTTTCAAAGTCCTTGTTTATTGCCAGTCTAACAAGGCCATTAATACTTCCTGTGCACTCTGCTTTGGTGATAGTAGGCAGGTTGTGGACTCGCAGCTGCACTGGCCAGATAACCAGTGACAGAGTGTGTCATGGCAGGTGCTAGAGTTTCAGAGTTGAATGCAACTAATTTTTGTAACCTTAATGATTATGAGGTAGTTTTGACTTTTCTAATGCTTTGTTCACTCAAAGACTTCATATAGACTATGGAAACCAGAGAAGATTGCCCTGCTTTTTATAGGTGGCAGTAGCAGAACTAAAAAAGAATGAGTAATGTCTTTTTTACTTGGTTATCTCTGAGGTAAATTATTTCTGTGTGATAGCTACAAAGTATTTCAAAAGATGAGTTGAGGTTAGTAACAATGGTATCTAAAGAAGGTCATCTGACTCCTTGTGTAGTGTACCAAGCTTCCCTTTGGGTTTAGCATCAGCTGAATCCCAACAATTGCTGCAACAGTTGTTTTACGGGATATTATTTGATTATTCTCCTCTAGTTGTCTATAAGCACATCAGCATGCAGCTGCACTTTAAGTATTTGTTTTAAATGCCTTGCTATACAAAGGACACTTCAGTGGTGCAATTAAAAATGAGACTGTTGGCTAACTGAATACTCTGTTACTATTCTAAAGAATGCCGTTATTTGTGGGTAGAGACCCACTGTGATAAGATCATCCCTTCCATTGATACTAAGACTACGTAGATTACATAGGACCCTTCCTTTAGTATGCTTCAGAGCTTTTCTGTTCTTCAGACCTAAAAAATACATTTGGGAAACTTTTGGTGTTTCTTTTCTGGCACCTTTCTGTATCAATCAGATATTCATATATCTGCCTTCATGGAACCCAAGCCTTCCTCACTTTAAAAAAAAAAAAGTTTTCCTGTGGAAATTAAAAGTACTGTTTGAGTATTAAGCAGAACATTTATTTTTGTTCCAGATGGGAGCAGTACAGCATAGTGGATGGCATTATAGTATTGATTCTGGAATCAGACTGCCTAGGTCCTATGTTTTCGCTCTGCTATTTACTAGCTATGTGACTTTAGGCAATTTACTTACTCTCTGGAGGCCTCTGTTACCTCATTCGTAAAATGGAAGTCAGATGAGACAGTCTATAAAAGATAGTCATTTTTTAAAACCTTAGGAACAGGCACTCTTGTTTCAGTAGACCTATAATAAGTATATAAATGTTAGCTGCTGTTTTTATTAGCAATAATAGGATTATTATGCAGTGAGTTTAACATAGATTACAATACATAATTTTTTGTCATTACTCTTTTTATTTTAAAAATCCTGCAATACTCTATTAGCTCTATTTGGCATTCACTAAGCACCTTCCCTGTACAGAGTGGTGTCTTCCCCTGTGTAGGAGAATTAGAAAGAAAGCAAGATTTCCTATCCTTAAGACTTACAATGTAGTGGGGTTATCTGCCAGTAAGGAAGAAAATATGTACTACTTTTAGATAATTATAAGGAAATATTTCTCCTCTCTCCTTTTCCCTCCCTCCCCTTTGTCTGCCCAACCTCCCAGGACCTTGAGAATGTTAGACAAGTGCTCTCCCACTGAGCTACATCCCTAGCCTCTCCGCTGCTATCAGTTCTGAAGATTTTAAGATGAAAAAGCATAAAAAGGATTTTGTTTGTGAAAAGGGTTGGTAGGAAACTCCAGGTAGTCAATGTAACCTGTTTTAGTAGTTTTGTGTCACTATAAGTTTGTGATGACTGGTACTATCTCTAGAGCTGGCCCAAAGAAGTTAGTACCTAGACCAAGGTTACCTACCTGGTAAAATTAGAGGAGAGATTTGAAAGTAGACTTCTCCAGTTAAAATTCATACTTCTTCTATAGTACTGTAGTCCTTCTTGAAGGACTTTTGAGATAATTGACATTTTTCCCCCAAAAGAAGATTATATTACATACTATTCTATATTACATATAATAAAAATTATATAAATTTCACTTTTATATTTATTTATTAAAATCTTTAAAGTCTCCAGAGAATGAAATATGACAAACTTCTTTATAGTATCTATACCAATAGTTAGCAGCTTTCACTGTCGGAAGAATCTTACTTTGGTCTGACTTAAATCTGCATGGTAATTTAAATCAGTTTCCTCTTTTTCTCTTAGTAAAACATCTGGACACCACTCTGTTTGAGCAACATTTAATCCTAAAGATCAAGAGCAGATCATTTAGGAATGGTTGCCATTAACTAGCTTGTGGCCTGGGAAAGTCAGTTATACTCCCTTTGCCCTACTTTCCAGCAGGGTGAAAGTACTTCTTACCTTACCTACTCAGGGAGAATGTTTTGAGCACAGTGTAAGTCAACATATGTAAAAATGCTTAGAAAGGTGTGTTACGAATCCAAGATACTGTTCTGTGTTCTGAGTGTTCTACATTATAGTAAGGTAAACCAGTAACAACAAATTTGTGTTATGTACTGTGACTCCCTATCCACTACACATAGTAGATACTACTAATCAGTCATGATACTCACTGTTGGTGAATATTGAATGACCATTTTTAACTGACTGGAATTAGCATGGGAATTAATCTGTATACCATCCTGGCATAGGTACTTTCATTAATCCTATATAATAATGTTTTAGCCTTTCTTTCTTTTACCTAAAGAATTCTGTGGCCTGCCACTGTGCCCAGAACATAAAAAGATACTGAATACATGTTCATTGACTGAATACATTAGACCATTGGTGACATTGGTTACTTAAATTTTTCTTCATAAATCTTTTTATTTCACTTTAAACTCTTAAATCTTACATGTTTCTAAAATCTAAAATTAATCACTACATATGTGAAACCCTTCTAATTAATGATTTTGGAATTTGTAAATTTGAATTTTAAATACTTCCATGCTTAACTTTTCCACCCTACTTGAGTTTTATTTATACCTTTAAAGGAGATCCAGAAATTAATACCGCTCCTCAGAGAATTGAGAAAAAGAATTATCCAAATAATTTTAAGCAGTCACATTGATTACATCAGGAGGAAGACAGCTATAGTACACAGTCCCTGAACACAAGAAAGGTATCTTTTAGTCCAGTACAGTGCATAACAGATCAGAGCTACACTAAAAGTGGAAAATAAAAGTGTAGATCATTTTTTAGTGCCTAAATTTAGGAATATGTGTGAAATTTCCCCATCATCCACTTACCCAAATGTTTGATTCCTATCTAAAATTAGATATAGATGTCATTGCCTCTTAGAATAAGCTCTTTACCCTTCCATTTTCAAAACCTGCTATAGTTTTACTTCATAATTTATTTTCATGTTACTCTTGAGGACAGGTGATTAATAGCTAGTTCTGAAAAGCCATGTTTTGGTTCACAGGCCTAAAAGGCAGAGTAAGTAAACAGTTTGATTAATTAAATCACTAAGAACTTAAGATCATCTCTATGAGATACTTAGTCTACTATAGTAAAACAAATTTAACCATGGTTGCTAACTTCTGAAAAGCTTTTTAGGCATTCCACTATTCTGCCTTAGAGGATAATGCTGTATTACTGCTCTCTAGTCTAGACCTTCAAGAAATCAAGTATTTTCTTGATTTCTTTTCTTTCACGTTGTCCGAAGTTCCTTTCATTTTTAATCATATTTTGAAGGCAATATTTTTTCCTGAGATGCAGTACTTACCCATTTTTTCATGTCAGTTGTTGTTTAATAAGCTTACTTCCCTTGCCTAAATCATAGGTGAAAATGTCAGCCTAAAACTTGCTGACCAGTTCACCAAGCATTGTTAAAATACATAGCACATGTTTTCTTGTGTTGATGTGTAATACTGTCATTCTTTCTAGAATAAAATGCCTCTTTGTGAGATCTGGACTACATTTTTCTAGTATATTGGTGATTATATAAATATTTGGTAACCTTGAAAACTAAAACCTTGGTAAGATTAAGAGATTACTTGGATTAATATTTGTTATCAGATTTGTCACTCCATAAAAGAAAGCAGTTAAATTAATTTGACCAAATTTCTTCACAAAGCATGTTGATTTTACTTTGTAGGTGGCTACAAGTGGATTTTGTGATCAATTTTCTTACATGTAGAAGTAAAATTTGAAAGTCTTTTATTTGCATCCTCTCCTTTTGTCCGTGAGGTATAACTGGCTCTTTTTAAATATTAAATGCTTACCATTTCCTCCCTGAGAAGTGGAGGGATTGCTCCATGATCTTGATTAATTTATTTAATATAGTTATGTGTCAATATATTTCTTATACTGAGGAATGGAAGTCTTCAGGGCCAGTTTATGTGAATCCTTTAGATTAAGTATTTCTTCTAATCTTCTAATCTGTTCTCCCTTAGTTCCTTGCCCTTTGGCTGCTATTAGGCTTTCTCTTCCCTTAGTTTACTTTTCTTAATTATTAGAGGTGAGTTAATAAGAGCTTTTTCTTTTTATGAAGTTGGTTAGCTATTATCTGCTTTCTTTTTCTATTAAAAGGGGGACATTTCTTTATGTCAATAAATTTTTTCACATGCTTTTCCTTTTCTTTGTAGATAATGTTTCAGGTTGTCTTTTCAGATGTTAGAATAGTAGAAAATATGCTGGTTAAGAATAAGGACCTGAGTTCTAGCTTCTGGTCTTTCATCGTGTAACCTTAGGCAAGTCACTTAAGCTTAACAATTTTGTTTTCTTCCTAAAAATGAAGAAATTACTTGAAGTCCCATCCTAACCTATATTTCTCTGTAGTATTCATGTTCTGCTTTTGTAAATTTATCACATTTTCACTATTTCTTTGTGCCTCTCAATTTGTCCTTCTCCTATTACTAATTTTCTCATATTGTTTACCGCCAAAATTTCCTCTCGTATATATTTGGTAATACAGAGCTATTTTTTTTTTTATTAGAAAGCATTAACATAGGGCATATTTTAGAATTCTAAACTTTTCAGATTTTAGAAAGGTGGTATCATATCCATGATGTATATATCATAATATGAAAATGAAACACATTTAATATTTCTGCAGCAAGGTATATTGTTACACACATTAAATGGAATGTGTAAAGAGTGTAATCAACCTTGGGTCATTTCAGGTTAGATTTGCCACCATCAATGAATTTGGGCCCAAACTTAAAACTGTTTTGTTTGTTTTCAGAACTGTTTGAATTTTGAAATTGTGCACTATTACATTTACTGTTCCTCAGTATCTTTTCTTATAACTGCTCTTATTACTTCTCTGGTTTATTTCCTACCCTACTTAACAAGGTTGAGTTCTAATTCACTTTTCTTAATCATGAACTTTTCTTTTAAATCTAGAACCAATTTTGTGTTGATGTTATCCAAGGCTGCTCTTGCCTTTGTCTCCTCCTAACTTCTCCATGCTTATGAATCAAAACCATACTGCCTTCCTGAGAAATCTTTACATTTTTTAGACAAGTCAGTTATCCTTCCACTATCTCTTGGAAAATCTCAACTTAATTCAAGCCTGCTTTACAGCTGAGTCCTAGGGCACGGTATGAACCATCCTTTTAGTTTGCAGTTTGCTAACCTTCATTTTTTGTCTTGTAATTTTGCTGCTATATTCAGAAAATGCCACAAGATGGTGCCCAAATATCAGGGAATTTCTCTTTCTCACATTTCTGAGTGCCACTCAGCTTCCTGTCAAAATTCTTTGCCCTTAGAGTCAAATAGAGCTCAGAATATTGTAAGTGTGTTGATTTTGAAAGTGTGTCAAAATAGCAAGTTTACTGTAAGCTCGCCTTGATTTCTGTAATTCACCCAGTTCATGATTTGCAGTCTTTCACAGAAAGACAATTTGAAACCATAGCCCTTATAGAGAAGCATTTAGGCTTATCATCTGCATTTTATAGTGTCAAGATAAGTGACTGGCTGTAAAATTAGAACTGGTATTATGGCAGCTAACAAAGTGTTCGGGCTACCAAACAGTATGTAATTTTTTTGACTTGGTTTAGTTTGGAGATGATGTCTTGCTATGCTGCCTAGGCTGGTCTTAAACTCCTGGCCCCAAGTAATCTGTGCCACCTCAGGTTCCCAAGTAGCTGGAACTATAGGCATATACCATCGCTTCCAGTTTGTATTTTATCAGTCTTGGTAAGTTATATGGTAAATCAAGTTTTTGTATTAAAAATTGAAGGTGGATTACCCAGATTTGTGCGTTTTTTTGGTTAGTGAATTTTTCCTACCTTATATGTGGTCATTTTTCCATCTTGGAATTGTATATTCCAGGATATTTCAGGCTTTTGAAAGTGTTCTGCAAAATACTGAGATTTGGTTTACTTCTGAAGTATTTTTTTAATAAAGTTATAGTAGGAGATATGAGTAAAGCTTAGTGGCTCTTTCCATTTGAGCAACAAAATAGAGTATTAAGACATACTTGATTCCCATTGAAATATTTATAAAAACTAGTGCACAAGGAATAATAGACAATTATGTTGAAGGACTGAATACAGCCAAAAAGTAGAATTAAGATAAATCTCTCAGGAAAACTAGAGTCTGGGTCCTGCTAGGTTTGGCTTCTTCCATATACTTTAATTTCTGTGATCTCCAAATCCTTCCTTTCTATTACATAAAAGATAGTGGGAGCTGGATGTATAGCTCAGTGGTAAAGTATATCCCTAGGATGTGTGAAGTCCTAGATTTGATCCCCAGAACCACACCCATGCACACGTAACAAAAGAAAAAGTTATAGTGGTATCATTTTTACTTACAAAGCACTTAGAAAGTTAAAAATAAAACTTGTGAAATCAAGTAAAAGGTGACCAGGAAATCCACCTGTGTTGTGATTAAAGTTGCTTTGTAATTTGGATTAAGGGAGACTTACTGATTATATGAAGTATGCATCCACACTTAAGTGTGTCTTTTTTTTTTTTTTTTTTGACAGAGAGGAAACGTTTGGAAGCCAAGCAACGAGAAGATATCTGGGAAGGCAGAGGACAGTCTGTAATTTGAATATCATTCAGTGAAAAGGAAAACTCCATGATTTAGAAAAATATTTCTCGATCCTCAGATAAGAGGATCCTTCCAGAGCTGTGTACATGCAGGCATGCATGTTAAAGAAAGAGAAAAAGCTATCAAGACAAAGATTGACTGGGCAGAAAGAAAATAGACCCTTGTCTTCACTCCTCAATGCAGTTCTTTGTTATTGCCCTACTGTGGTAGATATAAAAGGGAGCCATCAGCTGGGAAGAAACATGGAAGATGCAACTTCCAAGAGTCGCCTGGACAGAGCAAGTCATGTTAGCATGGATCACACTTCTCAAAGTGTCTTAAAGAAAATGCGAAGCAGAACAGAGGATTCAAACTGCAAAGATGGGAGATTTAGGCCCTGCAGAGGCAGAGCATTCCGTATTACCTTACAGAGCTGAAAAAAGTAATAGTGGGGACAGGAATGGAGGACATGAAGGGAGCAATTAAGATGGACAGATTGACAGACCAGAGCTGTACTTGGGACATACACAGTCTGCACTGCTGGTCCCAGAACTCCAAAGTTGGTGAACTGCCACAGACGTGGGTACTACAGATGTGGGTACCACAGATGTGGGTATCTGGATCCAGAGTTGGTAATGAACTCCATGTCTGGGGCTACTCCAGCTGCACAGCAACCAGGCACCTGCCAACTGCATTCCTCCAGCCAGTCTTGAGGAGTTGCATGCCATTTCTACTTTGAGTAGTAATGTGTTGTAAAAGGGAAACATTAAAAGCCATTTTATGACATATATCACTATGGTATTGATCAGTTTTTTTTCTTTCCCACAAAGAAATGAGAGCAGCTCTGTTCTTTATGCTTCTGAGGTTATACAGGTTAAGTGGATCTGTTGCTTTTATTGAACCCCAGTGAGTACACTCTCTCTTCCCCAGAATATATTTTATAAATGACCATCCTGAGTCTTAGTGTTTTTGGGAAGTATTATGCCCCAAAGAAATGGTAGTGCCGGGTCTTAATCTAAGGTGCTGACATGGCAAAACATGACACTAGCCTTCTTAGTCCTGACCCAATTGTCCCTGCTGCTGTTCCAGTCATAGAGCCCTCTCACTGTTCCTTAGTATTGTTTTTCTCATTCTTGGTCCATTCTTCCAGTGTCCCATGTTCCTATTAGGTGCCTCCATGCCAGGTTTAGGAAATTAAGTAAGTCATTGTGATGGCTTTTTGTCTGCTACTACTTAGTCTTTAACTTGGGTTACTTGTCTTCATGGTGTGCTTGACCAGTATGGCTACATTGGAAAGGAGATGCAAGGGATTATTGTAGCATGGCTTCAGACTGAATGGTGTACCTCTGAAATTTGCTGTTGTTTGCATTGCTGGGGATAAACCTAGGGTCCTGCACATGGTAGGTGAGTGCGCTCCTACTGAGCTACTTCTCAAGCCTATGTTTTGTCTCTTCTAGGCTAAGAGTGGCTTTGGGAAATGAAGAGATGACTTCCTATCATTTTCTTGTGATGGTGCTTCCCCTGTATGGCTGCTTTTTAGCTTCTAAAGGCACTGTTAATGGTAAAATTTATCCTCATGTTTATTACCCAGTTTTCTTATAACTCTCATAACTTGAAGGACTTATTTTTGTTCTCGTTCTAGTGCAGTGTACTAGAAGCCTATCTTTTTTTTTTTTTTTTTTTTTTTCTGTTTTAGCTGACAGTCAGCCATCTTTAAGTCTCAGGTTTATCTCTATAACCTATTCCAGAGAAAGGGATTTTTTTTTTTAAGTCATCACTTGAAAATAATGGAGTGTTGCTTTTGTCATTAGTTGAATGTGCTTTTTAGTTATGTTATTCCAGTGGTTAGGGCTGATGTGTACTGGCCAGAGAGAAGAGGTCCTGCCATGGCTCAGCAGACTGCCTTGAGCTTATCAAATCCTAGGTCATGTCTAAGTCACGCCTTCACAAATACAACTGGAGAGCACCCTATGGCTGCCGCAGGCTCCTTTGTTAGATCATTGTAAAGGCAGCTCATGTATTCTGCTGTGGGTGTTTCTTCATATATGTCAAATATCTAAATCTTAGGATCACCTGGAATTTTTATAGTAGAAAGGTTCTGATGTCTTCCTCAGAACGAAAGTCTTAGAAGTAAATTTAAACTGAAGTTCCTAGCACTTTAATTTCTGAGACCAGAGTGTGCTGATGTGAGTGTCTTAGGATTTCAGTTCTGTCTGGAATTCAGTGGTTGGTATTCAATTAGCATTCCTCATCTAGTTATAAGGCATGCCAACCACTAGTCTTCCCATGACCTTCCCTTTCAACTCAGTGCTGTAACAGCACAACCCTTGTGTAGCTTTTTCCAGGAATTATAACAGGCTGCACCTATCAGACGTGTGATGTGGGTAGCGAGCCAGACCAGAGCCAGTGGCTGTCTGCCTGGCCTGCTTTTTCTGGCTGTCTTGAAAACTAGATCCAGCAAGAAGCTGAGGGTAACCTCCTTGTCCAAATCTAGTCATCAGTCACCACACACTCCCCGCTAGCGGCACATTCTTTCATAGACCATTAGCTGCATATGTGAGAATAATGTTGTTACTGTTTAGGAGAGTGTGGCTGGATCCAAGAGGAAATCAGTCCTTTCCCTGTTTACCTAAACTGCCATGCCTAATAAAGGGGATGAGAGAGTTGAGAAACGAAAAGATAGAGAAGAGGAAGAAAGTACTTCTTTGTATTCACAGAGGGTACCGCCTGGACTGGAGGAGTCCCTTTGACACCCTCTTGTAGCTCTTGTAATGTGAGAAAGCAAGTACTATTGCAATCTGCTTTGTCTGCTACCATGCATTTTGGGTTTGCAGCCTCTGTTACAAAAGTGGACAGTTCTTAGATTTTACCTTCTTGCACCTTTCATTCAATAACCTTTCCAGCCTGTGATTTAACATTGAGCATGGGGAGGGAAACTGAAAGCAGACAACAGTGCCCCGTGTATCCTCATCCCCAGCGGGAACTGTACATAATCACAGCTGGTCTTGGTGCTGTAGCAGTCCATAATGAGAAACTTTTATTGACATTAAGGTATCAAACTTAAAAGGTCATCTCTGTGTCAGGAGAGAAAAAACAGTCATGTTTAAGAAGACCATGGGATTTTATACCACCTACTAAGAGCATAGTTCAGCCACATCCAGTAGGGATGGTGGCCTTTTCCAGATTCAGTCCTTAATTAAGTGTTCCCCCTTCTAATTTCTGCAGTTTTTTGTCTCTCACTCTGCCAGACCTGTCTTTATGTTCCTATAGAGTGGCTTGTTTGACCAGTGTTCCTTCCATTGCAAAAATTTATTCAACACAAAGCTGATTTGATTGAGATCTGAAATTTAGGCCAATCCTGAGAAGTGTGGTGATCCTGAGAGAGATTGGATTCCCTGTCAGGTACATGACACATTTCTTTCCTTGGCAGAGGCCTTGGCACAAGCTGGGATCTGTATTACCTCAGGCCTTCTGCTGCTTTGCAGAAAGGCCTTATCTGATCACTTCTATGAAACTTGCCCCCGCTCAAACACTCAGTAAGTGGTGGTGTTGATCCATCAGGAAGTAATGGGATTCCTGAGGCTTAAATTTGTCGGGGTGTTAGAAACACCCAGGTGTACGAAAGGATAAAGGGAAAAACACTAAGGAGCAGACTCCTAAGAGTATGAGAAGTGAGTTCTAAAAGAGGACAAATAAGGTGAAAGACTGCATTCAGCAGCCTCTTTGCCATTCGTATGTGACAGTTCTGTTGCATTGAGCCCCTACCAGAGAAATAGTTCCACTTCCTGTATATTTAGGTACATTTGCAAAGTACCACTTAGATGGGGGACTGTACCCATAGTAAATCCTTATGGAACTGAGAGCTCCAGAAGCCATGAACTCTGCAGTAGGTTTCAGGAAAGATTAGACGGCCTTATAGAAAAGGCACTTAGCTGACCAAAGCCTGAAGGCCATACTGTGTAGGCCACAGGCTCTTAAGGGACAGGCCTAGAGCTATCCTGAGGGAGCAGTATCATTCAGGTTTGGTGATTGCCTTCAGAAGGCTTCCTGAGTATGTGGTGCCCTTTGGAATTCGCCCCTTTTCCTCTTGAGTCAGGACTCTGAAGGGCATGGCTCCAATAAGTTGAGGTATCTGGTGTATGGGCAGCAGCTGGGAGTGTGCAGTGATGGCTTCAGATAAAATTGTTCCTGAGTCGTTCCTGCTCCAGGGAGAGTTCTGCATTGGCTCGGTATGAATCTCCTGCGGGCCAAAGGAAGACAACTAGGTATCCAACTTCACCAGTCTCATTCCTCCCCTGACAACTTCACACAGACCCATTCTGCTCAGCTAATCCTTCACATGAGCTCCATCTTGGGCACAAACACTAGTCATTCTCTAGAAACAGACCCCGTTAGGAAGAAGAGGTTGCTGAGTGGAAGGGGCTATGGTGAAACTTCTTGGCTCCCTTCCCTGGTTAATTCTGTGTCCTTCGTTCTCTTCCCTGGAAACTGATCCCTAGAGATTTTACCACCCTGGCTGCCATGTCCTCTGGTTTCTGGTTGAGTGAGTCAACAGCAGTAGAAGATTAGGGAGTAAAGGAGAAGAGAAGCCAGGCGTTTGTGCTCTTCCCTGTACTTTGAGCAGTGACAGTCTGTGACTCCCAGCTCTAGCCAGGATCACCGTCCTTCATAGTTCTTGCTTTCACCTGCTTTATAACATGTCTTCCTCCTTTAGACTTACAGGAATAAAGTTTTCTACGGTTTATCCCTGGATGCTGCAGCGTCCCTTATTCATCCTATGTCACAGACTGTCATACCTCTAAATAGTCCTTCATTACACCACTTTAGAATGATCTGGGTGCACCCTCTGTTTTCTGCTAGGATTCATGGGTTTCTAAGTATTAGCAAAAGGACCTGCAGAATACATGTTTTTCTTTTCTTCCTCACTGCTCCAGATCCATGCAGTCTGGTTAGTCTACTTTCTCCATATGCATAGCCCTGACCTCAGTTCTTGATTCCTCTCATACTCTTTATCTGAAAATATCAGCAGACATCTAGTTGGTCACCCAAATTAGAAATCATAAACTCTTCTGTTTTTATTCTTTCTCCCATCAGTTGCCAGAGTTATTTTTTGAAACAAATAATTTGTTTCCTTGACTGACATTTGTCAAGGAAAAAAGTCTACTTTGTTAGAACAACCATAACCCTCCTTGGAGAGAATTTTAGTAGGTTGGAAATTCATGGCCCTCTTTCACAAAAGAGAAGACATGGGTTGAGATTTCCTCGCTGTCCTACAGCTACAAAGTGATGGCTTTGGATTTGGAAACCAATCCAGTGAAGATGTCTGAAGCCAAGTTCAATGCTCTTTCTCCTACTCCTCCCTTTTGTGTCTTGAGCCCCTCTTCCAAGACCCTGCTCAAATACCATGTCCTCTCTAAAACCTTTTCTAGCCCCTCAGTTGCTTTCTCTCTTTGCTTATTCCACATTTAGTTCCCACCTGTGGAGTGTATTCACTAGGATTGGGGTTGACTTTGTATATGGGCACACCCTCCTCTACACCGAGCTGTATCTTCCGTGCCACTGCAGCATTCAGCACAGTAGAAGATCTTTTTTTTTTT